CTCTCCGCGAACGCGAGGGTGTTGGACGGGTACGTGCTCATGGCTGGCACGTCCATGGCCGCCCCTCACATTGCCGGCGTCGTCGCGTTGTTGAAGAGCGCCCAGTCGGACTTGACCTACGACGAGATCTACGGCTACTTGACCAAGACCGCCGATCGCGAAGTGCTCAAGCCTGAGCCTGAGAAATGGTACTTCGCCAACGGCACCTTCCGTGGTGATGGCGCGTACAACTGTGGCAACGTCTCGGACGCGTCTTGGCCCAACAACCGCTACGGGTATGGGCGAGTCAACGTCGGCACCATCTTGCGCGATGGCAAGCTCAACGACACCCCCCGGCCTGTTTGCTAAGAAGCACATGCCACGTTTGGCCATGAAGTCGAGTTGTCAGCAAGCCATATTCACAGTAACTTACTAGCGTTTATCCACTGAAATATACCTGAGTAATTATCGTCATATTTCGTATTTGTTATGCGGAGGTGACCTTCTCGTCGTTCACTCTAGTGTCTTTGATGGCACTATAGTGTCTTTGATACGTTCACGCAGTGAAATAAGACGATCAACTACGTCAATTTAATCACTTAAAAACAATGTATTGTGCTGTGCTTTACACCTTTTTGCCCTGTGTTCGGCAGCTTGCAGAGCAATTCAGTCACGCGTCGGTTTGACCCATTGCAAACACACACATTACAGTGCGCGACAAAAAGGCATCAAAATGAGTTATTTTTAGGAGGTTTTAGCCAAAATTGGTCAGAAACGGCGGATTTTTGGATATAATGTTCTCCTTGTCACGACAAATACATGGTACATTCTAGAACTTCTGAATTCGTTGTTGTCGGGAAGTTTCCTGAAATTTTTGTTTGAATGGTGCGACAAATATCCGTGGACAATACTGTACAAAACTCAAGATATAAAATACAATCAACACTTTGTTTTAGACACCGAGAAGTCATGGACGCAATGAGCGTTTCAAAGTAGCTGTGCTCCATTTCAGACCACAATGCTAAAATTTGACGCTTTAGATCGTTCCTATTGTTAAATTGTCGTCGACCGTTATTATATACCTTGCGCGAAAGGTGTGTCCAAGCATTTCTATCGGATTCAAGTCCGGTGATAATGCCGGCCAAGGCAAGACAAGTCAGTTCCATAAAGTAAATCAGCAAAGGGCAGTATTTACTCAGAGAGAGTTTAGATGTAGCACTCAGAGTCCTGGCACCCATCGAGGAAGATGACATCGCTCTTTCCACGCCACGAAAACGCAGCCCAAATGATGACGCTGCCGCCACCGTGTTGCCGGTTCATGCGCTGTTGTTTTGTCTGGCGCTTGTCGTGCCAGTACATTTGGTATCCGTCTGGTCACCTTTTTCTCGTCGGAGAAAATGACACGCTTCCACTTTTCGCCTAATGTTACATTTTCTTGAGCCCAGAGCAACCTTACCTTCATATGTCTGGCTGTCAGGGCTGGTGTTGCAATGCGATAGATGTGCTCGAGGTAGTCGGACTTGTGCAGGAGGCGTTGGACAATGTGTACATGGACATCGAGGTTCAGGTTGAGCCGTATTTCAGACACGCTGCATTGGCCTTTCTGTGCTTCACGGATGACGGCGCTCTTCGTTCGGTCGGACAGCTTTGGATTACGGCCTGTAGAGGTCGCCTTACCGTAGGCTGTGGGGTCACGCACGACGTTGGCAACGGCAGACTTTGAACAGTTGATGATACGCGCAATTTCGCGGAAGGTTTTCCCATGGTCACGTCGAGTAACGATCTCACCGACCTGACGGTCAGTGAGCGTCTACGTTTGGCCATCAAGAAGTAAAGTGACTTCAGGGCTTGAATTTTGTATTGTCCACGTATATTTGTCGCACCATTCAAACACGAGTTTAAGGATAACTTCCCGACAACCACGAATTCGAAAGTTCTAGAATGCACCATGTATTTATCGTGATAAGGAGTACATTATATAAAAAAATCAGCCGTGTCTGACCAATTTTGGCTAAAACGTCCTAAAAATAGCTCATTTTGATGCCTGTCCTTACCTTTTTGTCGCGCACTGTAGCCGGAGACATACGCAACAAGCAGATATTTTCAGTACAATTTAATTCGCTATAACGCCAGAGGCAGAGGCCGGCTAAGCTCGGCTACCAATCAAGAAAACCTTATAACCCTCATAACTTCGTCATTTCTCATCCGTTGTGCTTCACATCACGCGCAAACACTTCGTCTTGAGGCGCAGATACTGCTACCACCCCTCAGGAAGCCAAGCTACGGACGATACAGTATGCCAAGGCCGACGACCGGTCGAGAACTCACCGACGACCAAAGGTCGGCGGTTTACCATCGGCTACTTCAACTCAAGAGGAACGGAAGAGTTGGCCATGGAGAGATGAAACACTTGATGCTTTCCTTCAACATAAATCAATCAACGATATCCAGAATATGGCAACGTGGCTTACGAACCCAAGCCGAGGGTGGATGTGCCAAGGTGGAGTCACGCAAGAAGGGTAACTGCAGACGGTGCCGCATGTACGAGAACAATGATGTTCGGGATTTGGTCACGTCGGTCCCACCAAGTCTCCGCGGCAACTTTCGGGGCATGTCCGCTGCCACTGGTATTCTGAAGACATGCCTGTGGCGTTTTATCAAGTAGAAGACGATCAAGCGTCGTACGAGCCGTTTGAAACCGATGGTGACAGCGGAGCATCGAGCCAATCGGTGCGACTTTGCGCGGTCCTTCGTTCGAGCTGGCCGCAGTGGCTCGCACCGATGGCACGACATGTTGGACTTCGTGCACATCGACGCGAAATAGTTTTGCATTACCCAAGTAAACCGCCGGTTCTATCTTTGGCATGATGAGCCGGTTCCTCAACGAAAGGCTCAATCAAAACACCACATCACGAAAATGAGGTTTCTGTGCGTCGTGACCCGACCAAGACACGATACCAAGCGTAACTGTATGTGGGACGGCAAAGTTGGTCTCTGGCCTTTCGTGGAGACCCAACTGGCCAAGTGTCGAATCAATAACCGTGAGCGAGGCACGCCTGTGACCGTACCAATGATAGTGACAAAGCCTGTGTATCGACGATTCCTCGTCGACAAGGTCATCCCATCTATTCAAAGCAAATGGCGCTTTGTGGAGCAAGACAATGCGAGGCCATATGTAGCGGTAAACGATGCTGAAGTCATGGAAGCAGGAAAGAAGAACGGTTGGGAAATTCAGCTCAAGGCGCAACCGGCACAGAGCCCGGACTTTAATGTCCTCGACCTGGGCTTTATTAACGCAATTCAGAGCTTGCAGCACCAAACCGCTGCTAGAACCATCGACGACCTCATCAAGTGCGTTGAAGATGCGTTCAAGGACCTCAACTGGCGCATTTTGGACAAAACATTCATGACTTTGCAGAAGGTCATGGAGGAATCCTTGTAGATGAATGGCGACAACATTTACAAGATCCCCCACCTCAAGAAGGACGTGCAGATGAAGCGGGGGTTCGGGAATTGCACCCGTCATGTGACGAAGAGGTTTTGTTGGCCATTGACTCCATGGAGAGACGTATACTGGGAAGGACGGAATGCAACGCCCACCGAAGATATTTGTGTGTCACACTTTGAGTTATCCAATCATACTCAAGTATCAAAATTGGTG